GTTGCATAACAGCAATCAACTTCCACAGATGCACACCTGTATATAGCACACAGATTTGAACACTGAAGCGTGTGTGTCTGTTTGGGTGCTGTGATTATTATGCTGTCGTTTGGCACATCTTGTATGAACAGCCTGAGAACTTCACAATCTGGGCTTGATTTGTTATCAACATGCTCACACACATTTTGTTCCACACTTGTCCTCCTACTCCACTGCTGCTCAATTCAGTGTGCACGCACGCACGCACGCACGCACACACACACACACACACACACACACACACACACACACACACACACACACACACACACTCTTTAAACGACTAGGCTAGATGTTGTTAGATGTGTACTTGATATTTAAAATAAAAAACATTATTGTTTCAGATGCTTTTTCCTTTATTTTGCTCATTTGTCACAAACTTTAGAAACACATTCAGTCTCTCCATTCAAGATTGCGAAAACGTTTTTTTTCCTTCTGGACAATAAAGCTTGCTGCTTCTTATTCTTGCCATCTGTGCACTTAACTGAAATGAAGGTTGGGAAAAACAGGCATTACTGTGTGTTCTCAGGACAGAAACAAACAGTTTAATAGGGTGTGAGTTTTCCAGTGGTGGTAAGTATAAGTATTGCACACATATAAATTGGCCTATACTCCATTCCATTACAATTTAGAAGCAACTATTATGGAGTACTATAGTACTTTATTACCCAACATTGTACTGCAGTTAAAAGTTACACAATTAATTCACCTAAACACCAGTGAAATGCTCTTTTTCTATTTACATTGTATTACAAAATACAACTCCTAATTAGGTAACTTTTTAGATGCATGATTTCAGAAATAATTTATTTTTCCCACAGTAAGGAGATGTACAATTTCATTAGATTAAAATGTGTACTCTTCTGTACATCTTCTTAAGTGAATAATCTGAATACATCCTGTACCTAAAAATGTCCTTCTTTTGCTCTCTGTCAATCGTTTTTCCAATACTTCAGTGCAGAATACAACAAATACTTAATAGTCATTTATTCATCAAATATCCTGTCACTCTCAATTGCAACTTCTCAAGTTATGTTCCGTTGATCCAACAAAACAAGATGTTGTCTGAAAAACTGGATATTTTTCACAACTTTCTGACATTTTGTTGTTGCAAATGATCAACTCAGATTGAAGTTCTCCTGATTCAGTTGTACATGTTTGAGTTTTAGACGTTTCCAGTGAAACAAGATTGAATGGTCTAAAAATGTTTATTTTTAAAATATTATGGAATGGAACCTCCCATGAGGTGCTGCCGTTGCCTAGCAACCGTGACACCAGTCTTTTGCTTTTGTACTTTCATCAGATGATGACATCATTTTGGAATGCCTTTGGTTTCAAAGCCATTTCCAAATGATGTCATCACAGCATTCTCAGAAGTTTGCAAAGAGGACCCACATTCAGATTCCACTAGTTTGAACACACCAGCGCATACCAAACATCTACAGAACACTTCTGAGATTATCTGCAATATTATTCAGGAACAATACCATGGATAGACAAGGAGCACCACAGACAATGGACACACTGGAGGTTAGGGTGGATAATGTTCGTCCCCAGGTGGAGAACTTTTATAAAAGCATAACTAAAGAACAGTTGCAGTTGTTAGATATCGGCACCCCGGATGACGCAACTAAAGTTTTGTTGGCAGAACTTATTTTAAGCATTGTAACATCTGTGACTTCACACTTGTTGAAGGGTATTGTGAACACAACTATTGTTGTGTCGGAGGAGAGTATTGTGTTAAGTATGGGCACCACACTCACTCAGAGTGTTGCCGACGTCTTGGGCTTGAAGGAAGGAGTGCAGAGTGTTAGCTCGGAGCGCTTGAAAATCTTGATCAGTAAAGAGGTTGCAAGAAGTATCGTCTCTTCCCTCACCACTTTGCACTCTGCAGAGTTTACAATAAGCCAGCATGTCACTCAACCTAACAAACTTAATACTATGGTTGGTCATGCCACCAAAATGTTAAAGGAATTTGCCGCCAAGACGAGATTGTTGTGCTCTCGACCAAAAGAACACTTGTTGCTGGCAGAATCAAAAAATGACGAAGATATGAGGCAGGCAAGCAACAGTGCAAGGACTGAGACCCCAGAGAATAGCTCATCCCCTGGCAGCTCTGACTCTGCAAAAAGTAAAACTGTCCAGGACATAATCAACAAGGAGGTGAAAGAGATCATTGGACCTCTTCTGACTCCTGTGTCTGATACTGACTCCGAGGTTGTGCATTCTCAAAGCTCTCAGGAGAGTTCAGTTCTTGCAGACAATATTGCAATGGCAATAGCTGAAGGACTGGAGGGTTTCGAGGAGATGGCAGCAACCCCAACATCAGGAAGAACAGATAAGAGCAAACTTTCTTTGGAAGATATAGAGCGCAAGATAAGGAACTTTTTTACGAAACACTTTGCAAAAGCATGGATACTTCGCATTTTTGCACAACTGAAGGCTACATTTCAGAAGGGCTCCAAAGCTGACAGCAGGTCCACAGTGCAGTCACTTATGGATGATGTAGATCGTCTGCTTCAGCCAAGGGATGGGAAAAAAACACAGGTTGGAGATCAGATTAGTGTGTTCAAGGGTCTTAACACTATTCCCAGTGCTGGAGTCCTTGTGTTCACAAAGGAACTGACTGATATCCTCCTCTCATACCTCCTCAAACATGAATTGCCTGATGTTTTCCCAAGACAAATGAAAAAGCAGGCACCTCGCACATCAGTGGCTCCTCAGCCCTCAACTCACACTGACACATTAGTGTCACATGCGGAGATGCGTATTGAGGTGCAAAACAAAGTGTGGGATTTCATGGCACTCATGAAGTGGTGGCGGAAAACTCAGGTTGGTGGCCACAGTGATAGAGTACGAAGTGCCCTTAAGGACAGCCAGTCACTGGTACGAACATCGGTGAGAGTAGTTGAAACGTCCAAGGAAACAAAAGCGGCCATCAAAATAATCTTGCAGAGGCTGGTTTCGCAGGTTTTTATGAAAGCTAAAGTGGACTGCGCCCTTGAAAACGTTAATGACATCGTTAGTCGTCTGTTTGAGAAAACAGTGGCCGATATCGAGTGGGTTGATTTTGGTACCAAACCTGGGGCCTTGAAAGATCTTGACAAGGCCATTTTCCGGGACCTATGTAAGGTGTACGGCTGCGCGGAAAAGGTGCTCAGCTCTTTGTACTTAGAGGATCCTGCACTGGAGAAACACATTGCCGGCATCGCCACATATCGGCTGACGACAACACCAAGACAGGGTAGCCAAATCTGCAGATTCTTCTCCTCAGTGGGCAGAACCATCTCAGATGTCTGCAGGTAAGGGTCTTGTATTATTTAAGTGAAAGGGTTTTTGGAGGTTTACACCGGGTACTCCGGGTTCCCTGTGTTCAATTCATGAAACAAAAACAACAGCAATCCCGTTTTTACTTAGTTTGTTTTCTGACTACCGCTGTATGTTGGGTTTTCTCCAGAATATTCTGGTTTTCCCGCGTTCAATTAATTTAAACATCGGATTAATTAAACAAAAAAAAATTGCTTTCATCTTCAAGGAAAAGGGATATTGAATAAATGAACCCTTTAAATGTCTTTTTTGAGGTGTTTCAACCAAACACTTAAATACATAATCAAAAATAAAATGCAACTAAATAACTTAAAAGCATGCTGTTTAGTATTTCTTACACATTCCTTAACATCAGCTTACACAGCCTGTAATTGTAGTGAGGACACAGAATGTAATTATACATACGTGAACACAAGTATCACTTTTCAACTGTGCTCATTCAGAGGTGTGTGTGTGTGTGTGTGTGGTGTGTGTGTGTGTGTGTGTGTGTGTGTGTGTGTGTGTTGTGTGTGTGGTGTGTGTGTGTGTGTGTGTGTGTGTGTGTGTGTGGTGTGTGTGTGTGTGTGTGTGTGTGTGTGTGTGTGTGTGTGTGTGTGTGTGTGTGTGTTGTGTGTGTGTGTGTGTGTGTGTGTGGTGTGTGTGTGTGTTGTGTGTGTGTGTGTGTGTGTTTGGTGTGTGTGTGGTGTGTGTGTGTGTGTGTAGCAGTGTACGTACATGTTCATATACAGGTTTCAACATGTATTTTAATGTTTTTATTACAGATTTTAGAAGTGAATTTATAACCTGATATTTAAAGAAATAAACATCCATTTATATATGAGTTACATGTGTCTGTGTCCATTTCAACGTGTCTTTTTATGAGTCTGTTTTAAGGTTTTCTAAGTGTTACTGTATTTTTTTATAGGAAGAAAAGAACATATGTGTTGTGTGTAGTTGTGTGTTTGTGCAATGGATATTTACATGTATATGTATATCATTATCACATAATTCTTTCCTTTTTCATTTGCGTGTGTCAGAGGTGTGTAAGGAAGGTGTGTGTGTGTGTGTGTACATGTAATGAATATAATCATTATATTAAATGTATGTGTGTGTCATGGTGTTGGTTGACAGGTGTAAGCAAGCCTTCTAATGCTTCTATATGTAGGAATAATCACTTGTGTGTGTGTGTGTGTGTGTGTGTGTGTGTGTGTGTGTGTGTGTGTGGCCAGTCACAGAGTGGGTCGCTGTTGCCTTGCTCATAGTGAGCGTCACCATGGCAACGGCACTAGCAGCGCAGTGTGAAGTGGAGGAAGAGCTTGTGGTACTCAGCATGATGGAGATTATATATATATTTATATATACAGAGAGACTGGTTGATGTCATGTATTTCACTATAACATGCTTCTCATTTGAATTGAACCTTTTTAATTAAGGTTATTTAACACATACAGTGTAGCATTAGCTTGTGTGTATCTGTGTGTGTGTATTTAAATGCTTCAGCCCAGATGTGTTGTCAGTTCACGGTCACAAGAGTTAATGATCAAATTAAAACCCAGGAAGAGCAAAGCTGAGACAAAAAGAGAGGGAGGGAGCGAGGTGTGTGTCATACTGAGCATGCTCTTTGTGCTAACTTCCTGCTCTCCTCTTCCTGACAGAAAACAGCATTCAGAGAGAGACCGGCGTTCAACAAGAACAGAGGAAGACGAGCTGAGTAGAGGCTCAGCTGAGGAAAATTTGATCCATTCTGAGGATAAATCATAACATTCAGACTGACCTGTGGATGATTCCGTTTTTCATTCTTTTTTTACCCTGTATATTTTTTAAGGTGAGTCATTAATCGGAACAGACATGAACATTTTGATAATCGCAGTAATGTGTCACCTCGACGTCTGCCTGGGAGCTGAAAGAATTGCAACTTCTTTGAGAACCTTTCCTGTTTAAGAGAAACATTGGGAGCTTAAGGGGATTTATTTTTCACATTGAACTTTCATTTTCAATTTTGACGTCACTGTTATTTTACTCTTTACGGGTAACGTTTTCTTTTCTCATAAAAGGAAGAGAAGGAGGTGACTGGACAAGTTTCTCTAACAGGAACTCAGATATCATTTGCATTCCAGTTTGGTTCTCACAGGGGACAAGTCCTCCCTTGTGACTGAGTGTGTTTTTGTGAAGCTGAGTGTCCCTCTGCAAGACATTAACGTGTCTCGGGGGGCAATACCCGGGCCTGTGTGTCTCTTCTGGGATCATGGGATCAGAAAAGGACTCCGAGTCGCCTCACTCCTCGGTGAGCGGCATCCCTAACCCTAAGTGCCGTGCGGCTGGCAAACGCCACGGCCGCATCTCCTTCCACAGCCTCTTCCACAGCAAACGGGGTGCCAGGGGTCCCAAAGGAGCAGCAGCCACCCCTTTATCCCATCTACACCAACATCACCACACACAACAACCGCTTCTCCCTTCTGCCTTGAGCTCAGCACCCCCTGCAGCCTCTGCTACTCCCACAACGACCACCGCCACCACGACCCCCCAGGACGCTGCCTCCGGCACGCCCTCAGAGCCCCTCTCCTCCAGCCAGCCGTCCCTGGATGGAGCCCCTTCCTCTGGGGATGCCAGCCTCCTGGAGTGCCCCCTGTGCCTGGTGCTCCAGCCCCCCGAGCAGCTGCCTGAGCTGCTGGGCTGCAGCCACCGCTCCTGCCTCTGTTGCCTGCGCCAGTACCTCCGCATCGAGATCACAGAGAGCAGAGTCCAGCTCAGCTGCCCTGAATGTGCCGAGAGACTGTCTCCGCGACAGGTGGCGGACATCTTGGACGACGCGGCCCTGCTGGAGAAGTATGAGGAGTTCTTGCTGCGGAGGTGCCTGGCCTCTGACCCGGACTGCCGATGGTGCCCGGCGCCTGACTGCGGGTAAGAAACTCTCCATCATGTCCTCTCTGCTGAAATCTTTCTAAAATCATATTGTTATTCCCCAGACATGTTTCCTTATTGCAAACACCACCGAACCAAGGGATTACCCAAATTAGGGAACCGTTCCTGAATATGAAAAGACCAAAAATGAAGCAGCTTTGAAGTTATGGCAATGAGAAAGAAGACAGATAAAACCATCGATACAAAAATAAAAATATTGAGAAACGAATTTAAACCGCCTGATAACATTTGAAATGTTCCGTACTATAAGGTATCTATTAACTAGTGCCAAGAAGATTCAATTGAAATTGGATGCAATGTGCTGCATCTGGGTTTGAAGAGGCCTACAGTAGGCATCGGGCATCACTGTGCATATTTCAGTTTATGATATTTAACAGCTGCCAGGCTACATGTTTTTGTTTCTGGATTGCAACATATATTTTTTTGTAATGAAACTTCAGTAGACCTTAACGTTGACATCAAAGTGTGAAAACGGACTGTTACAACCTCTCAAAGTCCAGGTTGACATATTCAAATTGCATGTTTTCAATCGTCCGAAAGCCAAAAAAAGATATCCAAGTAGCAATAAACAGAGAAAAGCAGCAATTGTTTTAACATTTAAGACACTGAAACCAAGGAATGTTTGATATTGGATACTTTACCAATTTATTTTCGATAATTCGACTGAAAGATTAATCAATTTATATCTTCATCAGTAGTTTATTGGACTGTGTGGAAAGTGTGTCTTGTTTCTCTGCTTAGTTGGTTTCCAAGAGATCTGATCAGAGATTAGGCTTTAGAACATTGAACCGTCATGTTCTCAAACATGTGTTCCTGAACGGAACAGAACTCTGTCTCCCTGAACGGAAATCCCCTTGTAAGATAAATAAAAACAAATATGCAACCACAAGAAGCAGAAACTAAACTAGAACGAGTGAGAAAGCCGTAAGCATTTAGTCACCTGGGACAGGATATGTTTTATAAAGGAGAAATAATGTCTTGTCATTTAGTTTGAACAGCTTTAACATCTTGTTTTTGACTTCCTCATTCTTTCAGATTAGGGTTATTGCTAAAGAGTCATGATACATTTCTATATGTTTCTGTCTGGATTAGCAGTAGCTAGCTCTGTTAGAAAAAGAGAAAGAGGGGATGAGGAAGTAGAAAGTGAAATGTCAGAGGGCTGTGGGAGGAGGGGAGATTCAGAAGGTTTTGGAGGTAGAGAAGCGCTCTTAGGTTTCTGGAACAAATTGGAGGCGTTTGTTTCATCATAGAAAGCAAGAGTGATTCATAGTGTCTGTGTTACTGCGTGTGGGAAGGTGGAACGCAGATATTGGCTGCTGTGGTTTTGTACAGTAATACAGGTATTGTCGCAGGGGGAGGCCAAAGCGTCCGTGTGGTATCTTTGAATACATCTGTCTGTATGTAGCTTCACGTCTCGGATTTTCGGTTTGTATCTCCATGACCGGGTGACATACGCCTACATCAAAGGGTTTTATATTTCATCTTCTTTCAACAGTTCAAGTATAATAGTCTAGAATGTTCAATTAGTTTTCATTCTATTCATTTCTTTATTTTTGGCAACATTTTAGTTTGTTTGATTTAGTTTTTAGAGATCATTTGCTAGTTTAAGTTAAATTGATTTTTTTCAAAAAAGTTGTGTATTGTTCTTGTTCAGTATAATATCTCGTAAGTATGATGCTACAGATTAAAAAATATACTCGCATGGTTCGAGAACTGCGTAGAAATGGCCATCAATTTGAGTCTTTTACTATGACTCCAGTTGGTTTCAGATCAAAATCAGATCTATTCTGAATAACTTTGATGAATAGCATTTGATCTACTACGATCATTTAAGACATTATTGTTTTGTGAAATATAATAGGGAATAATTGTAAAGCATAGCGGCAGAGCTCCATCTCCTAGAATGACAGGTCTTTTCACTTTCTGTGTCTCAATGTCACAAGAGTTCATGCTGGTTCCCTTTTTTGGTAGTGATTATCATTTTAGAAAAGAAAACAAATATTTTTTAAATAATTACGATTTTTCCTTTACTTTACCAATTGTATTTATTATATGGCAATACTTTTCACAGCTTAATCTCATTTTATTTGATGTTAATAAAAAAGACATTCAGGAACATTCAACATATGCTGTAAAGCAGTGCTTCTCAAAGTGTGGTCCGCGGACCACTGGTGGTCCGTGAGCGCCCCCTAGTGGTCCGCGAGTATATTGGTAACATTTCACATTTGAAATAAATAAATACATTTAAGTTTTCCGCACTCTCGCGGGAATATCTCCGCAATGGAGCGAGGTTAAGTTTCACTTTCAATTGCATGATATAGCCCAGCGCAACACCTTCATCACACATGTTGCCACTTGTTTGTACCATTTTCAAGCGATTTGTAATCTGTTCTAGAAAAACGATGTGTTTTTTGATATTTGTGGAGTTAGGTGGTCCGCGAGTGTTTTTTTATTGGTTAAGTGGTCCTTGGAATGAAAAAGTTTGAGATACACTGCTGTAAAGCTAGCTTTCTTTCCTGAAATTAAAATCAAAATAGTTTATCCTCACTGAGGGAATGGATTTGGAACTAGCCTTTTAGATTAAGAGATATATTGGTATATCTTAAATAGTAAGGGTTCATCTTTTGAGAATCATTAAGCGTGACTATGATCATTTTGAAAACAGAAACAACAAATGAACTAGTAGAAACTTGAGTTCATAGGATGAATACACATGTTCTCTGGATTCAACACAGGGCCCTGCTACAGCCTCACTCAGTGTGGCAAACCAGTAGCATAAAGTTGCTAATGTTAGCATCAAACTTTATTAAATCACATTATTGAGTTAAGTCAATAAATGTATAACTTTTCTACTCGAGTTCAAACAATGTAGCTCTGTCTATCTCTATTTTCATTGTCTGCTGATTTGCTTGTAAAGTTAACTGTGACCTTCACTTTTGCAGACGATGTCGTAGAACGTTGTTGCTGGGGTACTGCATTGTTGCTATGAGACAGGATGTACTTATTTTTCGGGCTTAGCGATGTATGTGTATGAAACTTGGCACACACGTTAACAATTATGAACCTCGCTGTACCTGACACCTAGATGTTAGATATTTAACAGGCATGGTGTCACGTACAGCGGGGTCTGCTTCATTAAGGTTTTTGGGGGTTCTATAGAACCACCTTGCCACACCAAAACACAACAACCATATCAGTTAACTAAGTTCATCATTGTTAACGTGTGTGCCAAGTTTTGTGTGTGTGTGTGTGTGTGTAAGTAGCTTTTTTATGCGCACATAATCAGAACAAATCAGGTTATCGATACGGATCAGTTCATGGCGATGGTGATTCAGTGCTGCGGCCACAGGGATCCTGGAAACCCCCCAACGTCTGAGGGTGTGCGAAGGCCCGATCATCTCTGCCTGCAGCTTTAATTGAAATATATATATTTTTTAAAGATGTTATTGCAACAGGCCCAAGCTTATGTAGACGGAGATAAGCAATCAGCGCGGAGATGATCATCTGGTTAAAAAAGTGTGTGTTTGCTTCAGCAGTATCATTGTAGGAGAGGTTGACTGCTGACCTACATATTTACCGCTACGATGCTCCATCTCACGCCAGCGGTGACTCAACACTCCGTTAAACCAAGTTAAGCAAGTCCAGATTATTCACCACAAACAGCCCCAGCTGGAGACAGAGACACAGCTCTGTAAACACACACACTAACACACAAATACACACACCTGCCAGCTCCAGCTCCAGACTGTTGGTCACTCGAGGTTGCTTTCACAGAAAAAGCGTAATAAGTGTGAATATCGTCAATACAACTGTTGATGTAGTGTTTTAAGCTGATAATAAGTGTGTGTGTTTGTGTAGGTGTGTGTGTGTGTGTGTGTGTGTTTGTGTAGGTGTGTTGGCCACCTGTTATGTAAATCTGACCTGTTTTTTTGTATCTTGTAATAAATACAGTAGAATATTTATACAAGTGTTTATGACGTTTTATACTTCTCGCAGCTGTTCTGCATATTATGAAATAGTTAAAAAACATTATTAATCTCACCAGTTGGGCTTCTTGACAAGGAAAAAGAAAGTCTAGTAGACATTTCTCAGCAGAGTGATTATGGCACCATTAGGATCCATGAAACATGACTCTAAATGTATGCTAATATATCTCCATGTCTGCTGGATATGTAAATAAGCCACTGCTGTATATAATAGTATACGTGATTAATGTTGGGTTGTCAGTTTTTTTCTACTGCAATGAAATCTAGTTATGCTTCTTTAACAGTAAGTTCTTAAAGCTACTGAATGCTTTTCTTTTCTTCAGACATCAAGAAACATGTCTTAATGATTGTTGAAGCCTGACTTTAAAAGCATGGCTCATTTGGTCACATCACTACACATACAAAGACAACTAGCACAAGATGCTACATCTTTTGCAAAAACAAACACTAAATACATTCAACCATATTTTATGAAGGCTCAAACTTTGAATTTGCTCTTTTCTAATTGCTAAGTCTACGTTTGACTTGAGTTATTGGCAAATATATATGTTTATAATGTTATAAGTTGAGTAAGTGAATATATTGATCAAACACAACACACAAGCAGTTGCTGCACACTGATGAAAAGGTGTATTCTGCTCTACTTGTAAAATCAATCAATACATCCTTGCTTTTCCAAAGGTTACATTTGACTCTGAAAATTAGAACATGATTTGTTTTTTTATGATATAGTACATTAACAAAATGTAGCCATCAGGTGTTCGGCTATTAAGTCATTAGGTATGGCATATTGAATTGCAGTGTTACAATGACCGAAAAGTATTGTTGCACACTGATGGGAATGTGTGTTCTTCTCTACTTTGTACAATTAGTCTGTTTTGATTGGTCAACCGCTTAAAGTTGTTCCGCCCCTTATCCTATCGCATTCAATGTGTTGGAGCGCTAGCCAATAGAAGCGCGAGTATTACATAGTGATGTCATTACAGGCAAGAGAAACCCCAAAAAGCATAAAAGGGCCTCCATAAGTAACTGCTTTAAGTGTCATTTTAGTTTGTAAAAAATGTAATAATAAACAATATATATATATATTCAGTATAAGTGAAGGTATTCTTAAGCTGCTGCACTTTCCGAAAACAAAGTCTTAAAATAGAATGAATATAAACTGTTTTTTGGGGTGTTTACCCAAAATATTGACATGTTACACAAACAATCTTTGGGTCTTTTGTATGAGTATTTTCACTGTAAACAAATCAATTAATCAATTTATACCAAAACAAATCTACAACTGGTAAATGTGTCCGACTTATCCACTTGACCGTCACAACAGCTCCGCCCTGCTCGTTTCATACAGCCAATCCGGTCTCTTCCCGTGATATCGAGAACAAAGAGTGCTGTCTCCTCTGGCTGTCAGTTGCTATGGCGACTATCGATGCGGCATAGAAGGAGCGTTGCCAGGGGTAACAGGAGTTGGGGCTTAATTAAACAGATCCATACGTGATCACACTGGACTCTGTGCACGTGCATGTCGTCGGACACTTCATGTGTTTTTCATGTTTCTGTGTGAGTCACACTGATGCCCGCTCAGTTCCACACCGCAGACTAGCATCTGAATGTGTGTTGTAGCGTTGCGTTTACAAGCTCAGCAGGATTCCCAGGTGGCTCCTGGTGAGGCTGAACGCTGACAGGAGTGTTTGTGCACGCTTCCTTGGAACACGCAGCATGTCAGCCCTCATAAACCTCCCCGCCTCTTTCCTCTGAATCTGCCTTGTTTTATTCCACATTAACATCTCGTGATCTAACACGATCCTCTTACACTCTTTTGTTGTCATATATCTCAACACCTCTCCCTTTGTTCCTTTTCTTCTTTTTCCATCCTGGAGATGTCAGCCTGATAAGCTCTCAGCCCAAAACCCACCAATTGTGAAATTGCTGTGAGGTAGGATGCTCTTCTGGGGGAAAGGTGTTGTGGCAACCGCTGCTTTGTACCTCAACAAGTCTTGAGTTATCCAAACGTGGAGCACAGACACGCAGACACCTTTCTCTTTCCTCCAGTTGTTTTTATCCCATGCTAGCGGCATTATGGCTGTGGGGATCTGTGGATCAGTGCACTCTCCCTCTGGAGGGAACTTCGGGATTTTAGCCTTTGCAGACCATTTACATGCATAAAATCCTACATAACACACTACAGGAAAGGGAAAACTCAAAAAGCATAATAGGGCTCCTTTAAGGATGTGCTAATTGTACAGCCCTGTTTCCAGCTTTGTGACAATGAACTTGTCTAGCAGAGGCTTTTGAAGAGTTTATTTAGCCTAAGAAGTGGGAGAATGTTCAAAACATATAAGGAAATAAGTCATCCTTTAGTTTAAAAGATATTAGAAAATCCAAATAACTTGAGTTCATAATTTGTATATACTCAGTACAATATTTGTGTATCTGTACCCATTACTGTCACCTCACTGTTTTACATTTTGAAGACAGGCAGTATACATGTTAACAAGTTGGATTTCAGCTGAGGAAAATGGCGTTGTCAAATGGTGGGAAATTTAAAACAAAACAAAATGGTTATGAAATTGTCTTTCTTATGAAGAGCTTGTTCCAACTGCCAGCTTGAACCACATGTTATGTTGCAGATAAAAAAAATGCGAACTTGGCATCTCTGTGTTTTTGTTTCCCTTTGTTGAATCCAAGCTTTATACAGCTATTTCAGCATTGAGTCAGTTAGGTGAACATTTGACCTTCTGATGCCTGTGTGGCAGAGGTGGGACAAGTACTCAGGTCTTGTACTTAAAGTAGAAGTACCAGAGTGTAGGAATACTCTGTTACAAGTAAAAGTTCTGAATTGCAAATGTTACTGGACTAAAGGTTTGAAAGTATAAGCATCTAAATATACTTAAAGTAACAAAAGTAAAAAGTATTGTTATGCAGATTGGTCCATTTCAGAATAATATATATTGAATATATAGTGTTGTTATTGATGCATTGAAGTGTTATCAAAGCTGGTAAAGATGCAGCTAGTTTTAATGTCTTTGTATACTGCGGGTTAGCTTGTGAACTTAATCCACGTATAACTAAAGTCGGATTTAAGCAAACATTTGAAATACTCAAGTAAAGTACAAGTCCCTCAAAAGTGTTCTTTAGTACAGCACGTGAGTAAATGTACTTAATTACTTTACACCACTGCTGTGTGGACCGTTTATTTCATCAGTACAGAAGCTACTTATGCAGATTTTTTAGACAGAAATGTCTAGTCTATATCCTCGCCCATTTGTCTCTGCAGGAATGCCAGCTCTTGTCTGGTCTTGTCTCGAGAAGTAAACGCTCGTCTCCTCTGATAATCCATTAATGTATTCTTCCTGGGAACAGGCCTGTCAGTGTTTGAGCAGCTGCTAATGAGCGGCATGTTGGGGCCGGCTTGTTCGAGGCGTACCAAAACCATTATAAGTTTGTCATGTTATCATTTCTTCCACACTCCTCCTCCTTTTTAAAACTATAACTTGAGCACTGAACTAACGTAGTCTTTGTTTGTCCGGGTATACAAAGAGGCAGAAATGTTACATGCTTTACGTCGACATGTTCTCTTCCATTTAGCTTGGTAACAATATCTGCAGTGATTGATAGCTTTTATCTCAGTCTCCCTCACTCTTTGTGATTGCCGTTTTCTCCATACTTTTCTAAAATGCCAACCTTTTTGCTTGGTTACCCCTTTTTGCTTGGTTACCCCTATTTGCTTGGTTACCCCTATTTGCTGGCCTAATTTTAGTACAAAAATGATGGTTGGTCTGGTATACTTTTAAACGAGAACATGTATTCCCAGGGGCGGTTCTAGAAGGGGCCAAGAGGGGCCAGTGCCCATGTAACTCTGAACTTTGACCCCCCCCTGTGGGCGAATTCTCCTTTTGGAGGGGGGCCCCCTTTTGGAGGAGAATTTATTATGATAGGATTTGTGATTTGTTTTCGAATTCAACAGGAATACGTTTTGTTTTGAAAAATGTAGTTTTAAAAGAATTGTAACTAGGTAATTGACACAGATTATGTTACTAAAACAAACACCCATCCTGGTATTTAATGTTTTTTTGTGCTTTATGACATTTTGAAAACTGTCTCTTTTGTTCCCCTTTAAATGTGGCCCTCTCATAAAATAATTGGTTCCAGCATGCGCCTTAAAAACTAGGATTGTCTTTTTTCCATATTCTCTAACATTTTGTATTACAAACAATGAATTCTTAAATCCAGAAAATAACCAACAAATGAATCCAGAACAGACATATTTGTTGGTTTCAGCCCTAATGTTTGTGGAACGGTTGACCACAGGTCGAGGAACAAGTGGTTAGTTACTTTAGGGGATTTCTTAATATTGCAACATTTCTAAACATTTCCGCTATTGTCTCATGACTCATAGCACTTTCTAGAATAAATACAACATCTGTAACAGATTTCTCTTGATTTAATTTAAAATTGAACACAAATGTCCTGCTGGTTGCAGCTTTTTAATGTCTTGTCTCATAACCTAACCTTCGTCTGGGCTCTTAAAATAGCTTCATCACTGCTGTATTTGCCCTTCTCTGTCTCCTTTCTCAGTATTGAACTGTGTGAAATCCATTGGCTGAGCTCATCCCATCTCTTTCTCCTCCTCTCAATGTTGTTACCAAGTGATTACTCCATTGATCAAATGTTGTCTCTTCTCTTAGCCTGTGGAGAGCTTTCAGGCTCTGTATTGTGCTCTTACTGGATAGAGTGGTGTTCTTTATCCTTGTTTTTGTTTGTTTGCTGCATTTCTAAAGTTACATCTCTGTTATGTAATGTGTGGCCAAACACAGTGGCTTAGGTTGGAATATTTTACTCTCATTGTCAGCATCATATGGTCCCAAAAGGTATACGTACAAAAGGGATAAGGTTTGGAAAAGGTTTCAAACTTAATGAGTTTTGAGGTTAATTGGGGACAGAAACAAAACACAATGAATAATATCATCTTATTTTGTTCTAATGGCTAATGTGACAGTACCATGACATTTGCTAAAGTTATTAATGAAACCCAGAAAATTATTCTTACAGAGTTTTCCTCTTTTGTCGACATTTGTGTTTTTTAAGTGTCTCGACAGTCCTTTAATGTATTGCCATGAATTTGGTACAGACATTGTCTATTAGCACGTTGACCCCTTTCTCATAAGTGACTACAACCCATGCTGCATCTGTTTTATGGAGTCTTTTATTCTCTGGCAGAGAAAAGTCATATCAATTATCTTAATCCATTCTGAGTCTCAAGGTCTCCACTCCCTCTGGCCGGTTTGCATTAGTCCATTTTGCAAATGTGTATGTCAAGGTTCACAGGACAATAGGACGTCTACTGACACTAAAATAATAATTCAGTCTGAAATGTTGCTGTTATAAATGCAATTGTAATTTTGGATTTATACCTTGAAACAACATTGTTAACAGTTTGTTGATTTTATGTCAATTAGGGCTGCAAGTAACTATTATTTTCCTCAGACAAATCGGCGGACTCTTTTCTAGATTCATAAATTAATGTTTATAAAACTTCAGAAGTTTCCACATAATTAAGCGCCCCTCTCTTGGCCGCTCTCTCTCAGGTTTGCCATCATCGCCTCAGGCTGTGCCAGCTGTCCCCGGCTGGTGTGTCGCAGAGAGGGATGCGGAGCAGAGTTCTGCTACCACTGCAAGCAGGCCTGGCACCCCAACCAGACCTGCGACTCTGCCCGCCAGCAGAGGGCGCAGTCCCTGCACACACACAGCAACCACTCGCCCAGCTACACACAGGAGCAGGGCCCCGGTAAGTACCTGAAAAACACACATTCACACCTCTCAGGGTCAAAGTAACCACACTCTCTCATTGTGCAGATTGTGTGTGCATGCGTCAGATACACTCTTCTCCCCCAGCATATCCGTCCTGAAGATATTTCTCACACCTCTGAGAGCACTCTGCCTCTCTGTCTGTCAGTGTTTATCACATGTCAGTCTGTCAGAGGGCTGAGTCAAACTTGTCTGGCTATGTTGTACCAACTCCCTGCTATTTATATCAAGCGCTGTGTATTGTCAAGAATCAGGAGAAACTACATATAATAAAACATTGGTTAAAATAGATGAATCAATTTATAGATGATTCTACCCAGCAGTATAAATAATAGCTGAACTCACATTTACCAGTTGTGTGAAGTGATACACAAATCAATGCTTCAATAATTATAAGACAATACAATTATATATTCTTAAATTGACCATTCTGCATTATGAGTTTTTATAACTTATGATATTTTGTACTTCTACTCAAGTACATTTAATGAATTTTAGGTACTTAAATGTAAGTACAATTGTGCTTCTTTCACCACGGTAAGGTACAGCCGATGGCTAGCTTAGCTTAGAGTAGCAATGACTCAAACCAGAGGGAGAAAGCTAGTCTGGTTCTGTTTAAGAATATTGTCCTGTTTATATTAATTAAACAAATATGTTGATAAGTGAGCCATAGATAGATTTTGTTCAATTTGGACAGACCCAGTCTAGCTGTTCCCATCTTTTACCAGTCTTTACGCTAAGCTAAGCTAACTGTCTCCAGGTTCTAGCTTCATGTTTACAGTGCAGACATGAAGGTGCTATCAATGTTTTCATCTTACTCTTAGCTAGAGAGTACGAACATCACACACATCTTGACGTGTGTAGTGTATAGTGTGTGTGTGTGTGTGTGTGTGTGTTTCTTTAATTCCGCTTTGATTAAAATCCATTAACTAAATCCCTCCAGCTGTCCTCAGTCAATCTCCTCTCCCTGTTTCCTCTTAATACACCACTTCCAGTCCGCCTCTCTGTGCCAATAATCAGAAGAACTGACGAAAAATCCAGAAACCAAAACTGACTCACAAAACAATCCAGGCCACTCCCTGTCTTCCTGTTATCTGTCTGTCAGCCTTTCAGTCTTTTCATACCGGCTGATTTGCTTAAAATGCCAAAATTCTAGAAAAGTAGAGAGCGTTCCTAGGATTACACACACACACACACACACACACACACACACACACACACACACACACACACACACACACACACACACACACACACACACACACACACACACAATTTATTTTTTCTCTTGTAGCTTTTAGTCTTTCCTTTCAAATGCATTAGAGGACACACCACTGTAATTGTCTGATCCATTTCTCTAATGAGGTTTGGTGTCGTTGCCAAAACAGTTGGAGAAAATACTAATTAGATGGGACCATTATAGAGAATTAGTTTTTCTTAAATTTAAAATGTGACTTCTGCATTCAAGGACAGTTTTTGGGAGTTTTAAATCTTATGAACCAAAAAGCAGAAATGTGTGTTTCTCCAAAAAATAAAAGTGTGGTTACCTGAGGGATTTAATGATATACTTTGTAATTTTGTTCAAGTGATTGAAAACCAAAATGTCTTTAAGAGTCATTAGTGATCACTCAAAATGTCATAAAACGCAGAAATATTTAAAATCAGGAGTGAGTAGGGGGGGGACCTTAACTAGGTTAAGAACTGCAATGGTAATACATGTATTCACTTTTTTGCTATAAGTTAGATGAATGACACCGCTCTCATCTCTGCCCAAAATATATGAAGCTTCAGTTAGCTTAGCTTAGCATAGCAGACTGGAACCGGGGAAACAGCTATCTTACTAAGAAGCACTAATATATATTAGGTTTTGTTAGTTTTTTCATCTGCAGGACTACGGAAATACTGCTTACCCGATTTTCAAGACATTTGATGGATGAGTGTAGCATGGGCCTCAGAAAAACCTTTAACATTTTGCAAGAGATCTAAATCACGGATAGAATTAGCCAAGGGCTGAACTATCTAAATACCCTCGTAGTTATCTTGTTGTGTCTTGTTTTTTAGTATAAAAAAGCGTATGCATATCATTCCATCATATATTATATTTGATTGTTATTTCTATCTTATTTTACAATATAGCGCTCTTATTGTGACGAGCATGTTTTATTGCTGAATTGACCTGTACTCTTGTCCTTTATATTTCATCGAATAGTTGACCCTGTGTTAACCTACATATGACTAATAAAGAAACATGTCTTGTGTCCCCAGCTGATGACATCAAGCCGTGCCCTCGCTGCGGCGCCTACATCATCAAGATGAACGACGGCAGCTGCAACCACATGACCTGCGCCGTCTGCGGCTGTGAGTTCTGCTGGCTCTGCATGAAGGAGATCTCCGACCTGCACTACCTCAGGTACCAAGCTCTCTCAGTGCACTTTTTAGTTCAGCTTTTGGTTAGATTTCTTAAGATCTTATATAAATAAAACCTTAACTGCTTCATGTTTCCATTTCAATCAGGAGAGACATGTTTTAATGTAAGAATTTATATTTATCGCCGAGAATACACATATGAATGTAATGTTTGGCGATTATGTTTATGTTTATTTAGGATCCCCATTAGCTTTTGGGTAAGCAGACATTTCTCAACCGGAAGCCATGATAGATTTCTATGCATAATTCCAATATGAGTGCGCTTCGAACAGTGGAGAGCTACTCTGGCAGCCTATTTGTAATTTCTGTATATTTGTTTTTGCTGCGGATGACCATATGACCGGACAGTACTCAATATGTGACAAAACCAGAGACTGGATGACTTGTTTCAAAGTGGTTGGTGTTACATACTTTATACCTTTTCTCGTCACAGCTATGCTCCTTCCCATTTTTGTTACGATACTGTCAATTTGCTTTGTCCACTTTAAACCAGAGTCAAGAACAATGCCAAGCAACTTATTCTCGTTTACCTGTTCCACTGGCTGGTCAGCCAGTGTCTGGCTTAATTGAGGATTTAACATCTGCCTGGATCCGAACACCATTGCTTTTGTTTTTGCAATGTTGAGTACCAGTTTGTTATTGTTGACCCAGTCTGCTATGGCTTTAATCTCTAAGTAGATTGTTCAACTCACTGCATGTTGATGCTGTACTGTACATTGTAGAATCATCAGCATACATTATTACACTGGACTTATTTAATACGTAAGGAAGGTCATTTGTGGATATTGAATATAACAAAGGCCCAAGCGAACTTCCCTGTGGGATCCCACATAGTAACACCTTACTTTCAGAAAAGCTCCCATTGAAAAATTAGATTAGATTAGACCCTGTTGTGCGGGAGTATCATCCGGGAGGGGAATACCGAGCCGATAAACCCCCCCCTGGGGTCTAGACTCTGGTGCTGGTGAAGGCATGAAGAGATTGATGGAGGTGAACCCTGGTTTCGGAGAAATTGGAGGTGAAGGGGTGGAGGAGGGCTGCGTTGAGTCACCTTCAATGACAGCTGTCAGGGGGATAGAGCAGATTTGAAATGTTTGACAATGTTCTAGGATCGGCTTGTGGGAATAGAGACAAAAGTGATAGGTTTAGCTGGGGAGTGAAAGCCCCCTATCGCTGATTAGAGGGATGAGCGTAGTAAGAGGGAAATATGTGAATGACAGATATAAACACGGTCTTCCTGGTTGAACTTGCGCTGAGCTTCATTTCTTGCTCCATCAGTCCATCTGGCTGCACGTTCTGGGGGAAGAAGCCTTGGAGTAGGAAGAAGAAGATCCTGTGGCAGCTGGGGACCCTGATCGGAGCTCCGGTGGGCATCACGCTCATCGCAGGCATCGCTGTCCCTGCCATGGTCATCGGCATTCCTGTGTACGTCGGCCGCAAGGTGAGAAACCCTCAGAGAGCAGGCAACAGCTACTGGAGGAGGGTAACACGCTTGAAGTCAAGAGCACAGGGTTTTCACCTTTGAATGGTAGTGTCTAGGATTATAAGTTATTAAGTTTGTTATTTAGATTCAAGAGAGGAGGACAAATAAAAGGCTAAAGTACAAGTTGTTATTTCAAATGTATTTTCAGAGAAACCAGTTATTTCACTAAGAAGACCTCTTGCTGTTTCTTGGCTCTTATGTTTTTTTAAACATCTTTACTGTTGATTATTTCCCTTTTCCTATGGTGTTTGGTATTTTCTGATGAATTCAAATGAATGCAGATCATATCGAACTTGTTTAAAGTCCACGGCCAAAGGCAAAGTAGCCCGAAAGACAGGTTTTACACTTAGCTAACTTTGTTGATTTTAAGTTTTCGTGCCTTTATTTTGGAGGATATTCTGCATTATTTCATTTTTATAAGTGTTGTTTTGACAACAGAATTTTGCATTTCAAGACTCCCTTCCAAAAAAATCCAAAATTGAAAAGGAAATAGAAATTGGAGACGATGAGGGGACACAGGATCTAATTATGAAGGGGAAATATAATGATATGCTCATAGTGTAAGTCTTGCACTTTGGGTATAACAAGCGTTTTCTCTATTTGCAGCTAACTAAGACGTCTTTCACACTAAGCAACACTCTTTCATTTTGATGGTCTGTTCACTTATCATTTATCTTCATCTACAGAAACCAGAAGTGGAAACCGCAGTGTGGTGAAACCATAGTGTGAAACACACAAATAGTTTCAGCACAATATTGGAAGGAAATGAGATGAGTCATTGGCTGCACATCAAGCCCTGTAGCACCTAGTGATGGGAATTCCGGCTCTTCTTGGTGAGCCGGATCATTTGGCTCGGCTCACCAAGAAGAGCCGGCTCTTTCGGCTCCCAAACGGCTCTTCAGTTTACCACATATTATACCTTTTAATTAAATCAAATGTAGCCCTGTTTTGACTAATGATTTATATGTGTACACATATATCACTTCACTTAAATTATTCAATACATCCTTTGTACTGAAGTATTCAAAAGTAAAAATTACATGTTTAATATAAATGATTTGCTGTGGCCAATTGTTTTCATTGCATTTACAGACCTGTGTAAATCTCTGATACCACCCAATGAATGCATTGACTTGCTTGTAGAACCACGCTACACAAAACAGATAGCAACACCTATAAACACTATTTAAAAAAGGGGCTACTGTATCGACCTATATAAAGTATATAAATATAGTTTTTTTTTCAAAATACCAAAAAGATCCTGCATTTGAGCCATGCCTTATTTCGCTCTATTTGCTCTTTCCAGCGCTGTTTTTGCAGGGGCTGATTCTGTGAGCTGCAGCTGACCACGCCCCCCTGCAGGAGAGGGGAGCGTGCTTTGAGATCAGCTGCTGGGCGGTCTGTAGAGGGGGAGAAAAAGAGATCTCCGTCCTCCGTGTTTTATTCTTATAGAAGTAAGAAGAGAAGTAATGGGGCAGAAACCCTCCTTTTTACGCAGCGGTCCAGACATAGACATCAAACGGCGACACATATTCAGTGTGCAGTTACTTTGGCATTAGGGCAGGGATATCTAGATACTTCCCAAGGTCTGACATCATGAAGTGTGCTACTTTAAAAGCAAGCAACGATGTTTTCAAATCTGTAATCAAAAAGCTCCTCAAAAACACTATCGAAGCAGTTCCTGCCGTTGCTACGTTAGTTCAAACAGTAACAACGGACTACTTTTCTTAGCGGATGCATGTCAATTTAAATCAATACATAAAACTATTTTTTAAATCAATAAAATCATTTTCTAAATCCATAAAAGCATTTCAATTAATATTGGGAGTCATGTCGTTATTTTGTTGAGAATGTGGCCATGTGTAATAAGCGGGATGATGTGCACATTGCATAATGTGCCTTCAAGCCGATCTAGATCCCTCCGCAAAAAAAACAAAACGGCTCGTTCGCGGGCGAGAGCCGGCTCCCGTCGTTCACTTAAAAGAGCCAGCTCTTTGAGCCGGCTCGTTCGCGACCGACACATCACTAGTAGCGCCCTCTAGTGGAGAACATTGAAACGGCACATCTCTCTTTAAGCCTTTCCAAGTATCTGGCACAGTGTGACGAGTTGGAAGTGGTTAGCTCATTAAAATACCTGGAGCCTCAGACCGCAGCTCCACACTAACTGTGTTTACTACATGTTGAAACCTGCGAGGAGTGAGCTGTGGTCGTCTCAGTCAGAGAATTACTGACTGAACATGACTAGAAGCTTTGAAAAGGTAGTTTTCTGTATTTTTTCTTTGTTATCTTATTTCTTACACCAAAACAATGCCCACCTTTAACCTCCTCTCCACCCGTGTTGAGCTTGTGATGTGACCTCTTTACAGTGTGTGACACGTGTGTGTTAACCTCAGTGTCTGTCCCTCTCCTCTGCTGCAGATCCACGCCCACTATGAGCTGAAGAAGACATCCCGCCACAGGAGGAACCTGGCCATCACCGGGGGGGTGGCCCTGTCCATCATCACCGCCCCTGTCATCGCAGCTGTCAGCGTCGGTAAGACACTCCACAAGAACACCGTCAGTTAGTATGCATCGGGCTGAAGGCCTAAACAAACCAAGCACATCTGTGACCAGAAACACAAAGGGGAAGAACTCCAAAATACAGTCAATTAGAATGTATGCTGTTATACAATAAATGGCTCCATCCAGATCAAATAAGATACAAGGATGCAGACTTGACTTGCGTAATATTTTTCTGTAACAAGTAACAATGCAGAGCTTTTGGTCTTGGACTTTGGAATTTTGCATCACTCTGGTTCCCTCAAAAGATAGACAAGGGGAATTTTCCAGTTGGATTTTGGAATGATTGTCGTAAATAATCTCTGTGGTGAGATATTCTTCACAAAGAAAATTTGATTGTTAAACCCTAAATGCAATCACCAGAAGAGACAAATCTAACATTATCCACCAGTTGATGAAAGGGAGGAATGATGCTGATTAGGTTCAATGTTGAGCTCAAGTTTGTGAAGTTAATAAAATACTGAAGGAATCATGCATAGTACACCATCTCAGACAAGTTCTAAATCCTTGTGAAACTCCCTCCTCAGGTATTGGTGTTCCCATCATGCTGGCCTACGTGTACGGCGTGGTGCCCATCTCTCTGTGCAGAGGAGGGGGCTGCGGGGTCAGCAGGGGGAAGGGGCGAGGAGTACGCATTGACTTTGATGATGACGATGGTCCAATCACAGGTGAGGATACCCAACATTTCCCGCAGATTAAATGAGCGGGTTATTTTTCACATGATCTTTCATTATAAAGAGTATTTTCTGCGTGGTTCTGCAGTGGCGGATGCGTGGCGAGCCCTGAAGTCCCCGAGCTTCGGTGACAGCAGTCTGGACGGGGCGCTCAGCGGTATGAGCACCACCTCCCCCAGCGAGGGGCTCTCCGTGGCCCCCGGGAGTCTGGGGGACACGTCACACTTCTACCCCCTGGCAGGCGGCACCCTGGGAACCCGCAGCGGAAAGTACAGTAGGTGAGGAACAGAGGGGGGCCATGCCTGGTTTAGGTTTAGTCAAAACAGGGAACATTTAAACCAACATGAAGTCAGACACACGGGAATAACACATACATTTACAAAACTGACATTAATTAAATAATTAAATAATTAAAAAAACATAGTTATTATGATAAAACATTTCTAATAATAATAATATTAACTAATATAATATGTAAATACAATACAAGATGTGTATATATTAGGGCTGTCAAGTTAACGCGTTAATAAAAAAAAATGAACGCCACTAATTATTTTAACGCGATTAACGCATGTGTATTTTTTTTCCTCGGCCGCCCCGTAGTTTCAGAGCGCATCGAGTTTAAAATACCATCTACAAGCTGATGCTGACAGCCTGTCGCCCGCTTGTGGCAGACCACACTTCCACGCTCACCGGCAGGCACCGACTGGCCATCTGGAGGACCGGGAGGGTGTGTGTATGTGTGGCCCGAGCGAGCGAGAGACCTTACGTGCATTGTTGTTGTTAGCATCTGGTGCTAGCTAGCTGCGCTAACGGATATAAGGAGCTGTTTAAATGAAAACAGAGGAGCGACATTTCGCCGACAACTGCGCCGAGCACTTGACTTTATGCAGGAAGCCAGACAGTGGGACATTGTACGAGAAGTCAGCACACTCAGCACGGATAGTGCGCAACATGATTGCAGCGTCCAGGCAGCTCCGGTTCGAGCATATGCCTTGAGTTGCACATAGCTCCAACGTTCCATCACACACACACACACACACACACACACACACACACACACACACACACACACACACACACACACACACACACACACACACACACACACACACACACACACACACACACACACACACACACACACACACACACACACACACACAGACACACACAGACACACATTGTATTGTATTGTATTATTGTATGAGAGGCGAATATTTTTAATGTTCAGAGGTTGTTGTGTTTAATATTCATGAGAATTTTTGTCATTGTTCAAATGATAATAAACATTAGCATAAAGCATATTTGTCCACTTATATGTTGATAAGAGTATTAAAAACTTGAAAAATATTCCTCTAAGGTACATTTAGAACAGATCAAAAATGTGCGATTAATTTGCGATTAATCGCGATTAACATTAATTTAAATAAATCAACAGAGATGACATTACACAGCCATACATATAATCGTAGCCTACACTAACAATGCCTTAAAACAACAATATTCCACACTTAAAAGAAACAAACTCCCAAATATGTCAGCCATCCACTATTTGTCACTGCTGTGTGCAGTGCAAATATCAGATAATAGTTTAATAGATTGAGTATTAATTACAATAACAGTGTGACTGACTGTGTGTCGTGCTGCAGGCTGGAGGGGCAGGCGGGGGACTCGGCCCAGAGGGAGACGGGCAGCCTGGGGGCGGGGAGCGACTGCGCCAGCACCCGGGGGATGGCTGGCTCCATCATCTCCTCCTACACCCTGCCTGACAGGTGACCCCGCTGTCTCCTCAGCAACCATATAGGATGCCATATTGTTGTACAAGCAGCTGCCAATAAAATACATATTAGTTCCTCCTCTTGTCGATAAAACCGTTTTTTGAATTGTAGACGATATAAAGTATTTCAAATGGTGATTCAAGGCTGGAGAAAAGACCATCAAAATTAAAATATGTCATAGCTCCTTTTCAGTAGACCATGTTTTTAAAAAATGTTCACACATCTATATACTAAAATAAAAAAGATATATAAAATAAACAGCTACAGTGATGCATATGTCCAAAGATAATGACAATGGCTGTAGGTCTGCACATGGTATACAATATTCTCTTTTCCATCTTTCAATATTCATGGGTACTTCTTTTCAAGGTCAAACTACGGTTGACTAGCATTATTCATTCTTTACATACATTCCCAAAAGAATGCATTGTATTAAATTGGCTTCCAGTTGACTTCCTCACCTGTGCGTCCATAGATGTCTCTGTTTGCACTCTGGGGCTGACTTTAAACCCCTCTCTCTGCAGGGAGTGCACCAACCTGGAGATCCAGGTAGACATCGAGACCAAACCCAGCCATCTCTGCCTGACCAGTGAGGAGGACCTGACCCCGCCCCCGGGCTCTGCTGCCATGGCGACCGCCTCCAGCGTGGAGGAGCCTCAGGACTGCAGCTCCAGGAGGGGCGGGGCTTTGTCTGGCTCCGTGCTGGGCCTGTCCCCGGGGGTGTCCCTCAGGGAGGGGCTCAGAGATGTGACGCTGGCCCAGCCCGAGAGCATCCGCAGCGACCTGGAGATGTCGGACACTCAGTCAGACGACATCGCAGAGCTGACGTCGGACGACTGTGACTCCCCCCACCCTAAAAGCTGTCACCTGGCGGCCGGTCAGCAGCTGACCCCCTCCGAAGGCCTTCACTGTCCCGCGGACAGCACCGTCATCCTCTACGTCTGAGAGGACAGCTCCCGAGATTGTAGAAAAGAAAAAGGAACCAATCTCTTCTCCACTTTCCTTCAAGACCTTTTCTTTCTTTTCACTGAAGAAACTGAAACGTTGACTTTATTTAAATATATTATGTCAACAGATTTCACATAACTGTATTAGGTTAGTTGAAAGCAATAATATGAAGTTGAACCTAATATTTTATTTAAACTTAATATTATTGCTTTCAACTAACCTAATACAGTTATGTGAAACCTGTTGACATAATACATTGAATTAAAGTCAATCCTTCCATTTTTCCAGTGTGTCATTTCTGTTCTTATTTCTGCGCCTCACAGACGACGTCTTAAACGCAGACAGGGTTTGTTTACTGTTGTCTGTCTTATCTATCTACCTGTCAATTGTCAGGGTTCTACCTCTGAGATTTATAAGATGATTTATGTTTACTCCTGAGTGCAAAATGCCTTGGCTACTTAAGCAAAAGAAAAAAGAATAATAAGGTACACATTTCCAGAAATATCGCAGATTATACAATTATAAAAAGGTGAAGTGTCACCGAGCACAGCAGAGGGAAACAGATGTTTAATGAGGATGAAGAGGGAGTTTCTCACAGTGTGTGAATTCATGTGGACTTTGTACTTTTGTGGCTTTATTTTCTTCTTTTCTTTCTCTATTTATATTCAGATGACGTTGAAATTGTATCATTTGCTGCGTGCATGAGTCTGCATGAGCCGAGCCTTGTGTGACAGGTTTGAAAGGGCGGTGAGTTTCTGTTACACTGGTGAAAGTTAAGAGTTTACTTCAGAGGATTAAGCTGCACTAGAATCTCACTTTGCCTGCACAGAGGAAGAGGAATATGAGTTTGAATGACGGAAATAAATGATTGAGTTCTGACAATAATGAGGCGAGGCAGTGAAGCCATTTGATCTTTTCAAATCTATTAAAGTGTTGGACCTTTCTGAGCTCTAAACATTTTTGAACAGTTGAGGACAGACGACTACATTAAACGGGACTGTTCTTCTGTTTTATACTGAAATATATATACCAAACAGAAATGTATAATTGCATAAACGTCCCTCTAAGGACTAACTATATATAATCTTAATTTAAAAAAAGCAAATACATAACTGTTTTTGGCTAAATGTTCTTGATGAAAACTTGATGAAAAAAATGGATAGATTATCCTTATCCAAGTTTTTTATCAAAACACCAACACATTATTAGTCAGATTTTATTTCGGATTTAATAAAATTCACTTTTTAGATGTCTGAGATTTTAGCCGTTCCAACAAAAACACATTTCACCTGTTTACTTTTTTAATGGTTTCATATTAACTCATTTTGGCCCAAAAAGATTGAAAAAGGCCAATATTCGTCTAAAGAACCACCTGTTGTCAGCCGATTAAATGGCCATACTTAACTTTCCTGATAAGATGAGATACACCTTAATTGATAACCAAATAGTTTTTTTTAAATCACAGTTTAATACCGTATTTAAATGTGTTTCACATTGTACGGGTCGTTGCAAAAATATTAACAAATACCTATTATCATTTTCCAGAGCTATTCAAATTGTTAGAATTCTTTGACCAACAGTCCAACATCCCACAGATAATTGGTTTGATTTGATATTTGATGAAGAAAAACAGCAAATCCTCACATTATAGAAGCTCGAAAAAGAGAACAGAGATATGGAAACGGCCAATTGATTATTGAAAATAAATGTTGATTACTTTTTGTGACGACTCATCATTTCCCTATAGTTTCTCATCATTATTCAATTCTCTTAATAGATTTTTGAATGTATGAATTTAGTCTGGCTTCCTATCCGGCTTACATAACAGCGGGTCATTGTCAGAACTCTGTGTGTGTGTGTGTGTGTGTGTGTGTGTGTGTGTGTGTGTGTGTGTGTGTGTGTGTGTGTGTGTGTGTGTGTGTGTGTGTGTGTGTGTGTGTGTGTGTGTGTGTGTGTGTGTGTGTGTGTGTGTGTGTGTGTGTGTGTGTGTGTGTGTGTGTGTGTGTGTGTGTGTGTGTGTGTGTGTGTGTGTGTGTGTGTGTGTGTGTGTGTGTGTGTGTGTGTGTGATGGTCCAGTGTTTGATAGTTTGTTGCCTTATACACACTCACTGACCAACACATAACACTCAAATGGACTCACTGTGGTTTAGTGTTGACTGGCTGTCTGACCCACTTGAATGATGTGTGTGTGTTCTAGCATTACTATACTTGTGGGGACCTAAATCTGTTTACACAGTCACGTGTGGGGACTCGCCTCCCTTATGGGGACAAATGGGAGGTCCCCATGAGGGGAATCATTAATTTTAGGGTGAAGACTTGGTTAGGTTTAGGGTTAGGTTAAGGGTTAGGCATGTGTTGGTTATGGTTAAGGTTAGGATAAGTCTCCAGGAAATGCATCTAAGTCAATGTAATGTCCCCTGAAGTGATGTATACATGGTATGTGTGTGTGTGCGTGTACTCTTGATGAATGTATTTGGTTTTTGAATGAGCACTTGTGCACTTTATCTGAATTCATCATATTGATCGTCTTTATTTGCATCACATTTGACAACGAGTCAGTTGCACACAAAAGTCTGTTGTACAACCAAAATAAACCAATCACCTACCAGAAGGCCTTTTATGTTGGATGTAACTAAAGAAGAGTTTGGCTCCAAAACATCAAATAACCACACGCATAAATCATTTCTCAAGTGTATCTTTCAGTATATTAGAAACATGTTTTTTCTATCAGTGATCACAGGACTATAACTATCCTATTTTTATATTTTTCATCTTTTAAAGTGTTATTGTTGGAGCCAAACACTTCTAATATGGATCATACTCACTAGCTTGAATTGTTTTTAGCTTTGTAATGCCTCTGTGCTTCAATTTTTAAAAGGTTTTCTGAGGTTTCTTGAATCTGCAAAGGATCTTGGGAAACCTTTCTCATGTCAGAGTAGCTTTATGGATTCAGCTGCTTATGTTACTCGGCAGTGCTTTGTTTGGTCTGCACTTCTCACTTGTTACTTCCCGCCCGTGAGAAAAACACACCAATGTACCACAGATGGAAACCCGGACTTCCTGAAAGAGTTTGAATGAGCGTTAATGGAAGTATGTCCCACTAGGAACACAGGTGGTCCTGTTCTTACTTTTAAAAAAGGTTTTAGAGTATATAGATAGCAATATTTAAGTGTTATTATATCGTTTCTGTATTTCCTGTCACCTTTAAAGCCCTGCTCTGCGTGGGGTTGTACATGCAGGACTGTGAAAGACAACTTGTGGACGTTCTGGGGGGAAATAAATAAACACAATCTGATGTTGCACCAAACTATCTGTTTGTTTTTGATTTGTTTAATGACTGCATAGTCATTTATGATATGTATGAGCCTTTAAGTAACTGGAGAAGTCATGAGAATATGGTAATGTGCTAGTTATCAGTGCGGAAATGAGTCTCGAGAAACTTAGACATGTCGTTTTGAGTTGCTTAAGGTTGCCTTTCAACACAGTTAATGTCAAATGATAATTGCATTATGTTGAGGAACAATATCATTTCATTATTATATGTTTAAATAAGCTATAAATGTATTCCCGTTTGTTTACAACTGACACACAGGCCTGGTCAAAAAAAAGGGTAACCAAACAATGTTTGTATAATCAAAGGCATAACATCGTCAAATACCCAAAGGTAAATTGTGGATGGATTAACACAAAATCTTTCAAATGAAGAGAGTGTACAAAATATGTATTTTTGAAAACAGCTGAAAAAGAAACTCTTCTAAAACGTATTACATCCCAAAGGAAAATATAGTAAGTTGTTCTAAAATCTTTGATTTCTTTATGCACACGACATTTTATTTTAAATCTTTGACATATTGTTCATTATAGATGTTTGAATGTCTGCTTTAGGTGTTGAATGCCAGTTAAAGGTGAATGCTGTATTTAAACCAAGCAGCAGTCCCACGAAGTATTGCCTTGGTTAAGATTTACATGCAGTCTATATTAGGATTATGTTATACAAAATATATATTTGTGTTATTATTATATATTATTTGTAATGCTGTCAAAATTATCGCGTTAACGGCGGTAATTAATATTTTTGAATTAATTGCGTTAAAATATGTAACGCATTTAACGCATGTGCAGAATGTGCCCCATACATCCAGGGGCGGACTGGCCATCGGGACGTTCGGAACGAATCCCGATGGGCCGGTACTGAAGTGAGCCGGTCGGACGATGTGGGCCGGCCGGTAACCGGCAGGGCTCGACATTAAATGGCCCGCTGGCCCGGAAGCACTATTTAGACACCCCGGGCCAGCATAACGTAGCCTACTTTCCATTTGCCCGCTCGGGCCACTACAAATATTGCTTTAAAAAAATGGTGATGCCAATATGTATTGGTATTTTGACTAGCAATTTAGTTAAATTGTTTCGTTTATCAACGCTACAACATAGCGTTCCGTGAGTCGGTTGTCGTTGTTGGGTGAAACGCAAACAGCTGTTTGCTGCGGAGCGCAGCGCGAGCAGGCTCCCTTGAGCGGGAGCGCGCTCCTTCACTACAGACTATCGCGCCACCTAACCATTAGCCAAACATGTTTTTAATACCAGCGGTAACCGGTCAAGCGCCGGGCAAAAAATAATCTTCAAATAAAAGAAAGTCACCGGAGGAGTTAAAGGAGAGTGACAGGGAGCATGAGAAGAAGAGGGAGAGAAAGTTTCAGCCAGCTTGATCGATGGAGTTGGCTTCTGGTGCAGTGACGCGTCCTAAAACCCTTTTATAATCTATCGATTAGATTTATGATTCGAAAATTATAAAAGTAGGATAGACATGTGGAGATTATCCGGCTGAACAAAACGTGCATTTATCAAACAGGTTTGTTTTCCACAGACCTTATTTCCAGCTATTTTCCAAAACCCCGTGGAGAAATCCCATGGCTTTTTGTCGAGGGAACCAGCAGCTTACTTCCTGGTTTTATGACGCGTCACTGCACCTCTCAATATGATGCCAATATAAACAAGGTCTTCTGTCGGCTCTGTACATCAATGCCGACCTATGCTGACAAGTAAGTGAAGAGTCGACAATATAAAGGTAATATAATATAAAGCGAAATGTCCCAGCAGTTTAGGATAATGAAGGTTCTAATCAAATCAATTACATAGTCATTACATGTCTAACTCCTAATGACAGGAAGGCAGAAAGTGCATTATACAAATAATAATACTCATAATAATAGCAGACATTTTTTAACAATGACCACAATATCATTATTTTAATAAACCAAATATGAACAATTGAGAAAAATGAGGAAGAACTGATGATTCAAATGTTGTAGTAGGCTACAAGTAGTAATGTAGTTAGTGCATAAATTACTATAGCAATAAATATGTTAATTTTCTTCATTATTAGTCGAATATTTTTTGGGAGAGTCCCGGGCTGATTTGTAGTCCCAGTCCTGCATACATCCCACCAGTGGCAGCGGCAGGGTATGGCTGGGGTAGGCTACACCCATACCAAGAAATGGCTTAGCCCCACCATGAAAAATGATGTTAAAGTAAGCAACATAAAGTCCGCCAACTCGCGCGGAGTAAATTGCACAGACAGCAGTTAGTAAGATTGATTTCAGTAGCCACTTGTCTGGAAATACCGAAGACCAGAAGCGGTTTTGAAAACTTTTGTCACGTAGTGATCGTCTTCTCAATAGAATATCTTTGATAATGTCTTCTGGCCAATCAGAATCAAGATAACGGCGTGGTGTTGTTGCAGGAAGTCCCGACGGAGAATACTTTTGCTGTAGTACAGGGGTGCACATAACTGGTACGCAGGTTATGTGCGTAATCTGAAATGCGTACCGTCACTTGTGTCACAACAACACATCCTCACTCCCAGGTCGGCCTATGTTGACGTTATGTCAAGTCCCCTGTCGGCTTTTTCCAACGCAAGGGGGGGGGGGGGCCTTAGCGTCCATTTTCAACGCAAGGGGGGGGGGCCCTTAGCGTCCATTTTCAGCTTTCCGGGATGTCCATATGCTTCTATGGACGCTCATGGAAGCACGGCATTCGTTTGTGTCGGCTGCCCTTAAAGGCAATGTGAGCGTCCATTCTCATTGGATAACGGAGAATTGTACAACCAGAAGTAAGTATTCCCCTTACTGTCGATTGATTTTACAGTGATATCTGCACTACTCATCGACTAAAAAACACCAGATTATCCTTGTTAATTACACAACATTGATTGGTTTAAATTGTGTGCAATGCTTTTGTATTTTTCCCCTTCGATTCGGAGAAACAAATATGTTTTCGGAGTAAAGGATGGCAGAAGACACTACACTACCCAGAATCTCCAGCTATCGTTTGGACTACACCATGTGCTCTGTTTGACGTCACGTGATCTTCAAATTTCTCCCTGCAGAAAAAAAAACATGGCCGAACTTCGTTTTATTCTCGATGGAAAATGCCTATTTTAAAGTTAGTTTGGCCATTAAAATGCGTTTTGATGTCATTTGATGCGAGAAATATGAGTTGTTATTTCAGATTATGTGTGCAGTGGATGTACATGATCTTTAGTTTGCTAGTTATTACGAAGATTACTTCAGGAAATTGCGTCCATAACGTTTTCATTGTTACCAAGGTGGTTGCTAGGGACGCTGCTATCGATATTATTTCTGTTATGTTGTGTAACTGTTTAATGGTGTTATCTTTATTGCTACCCCCTTCCCCGTCAATGTATAGTGTTGGTCCACAGCGCAAACATATTAGTTTAACAAAATCCGCATCTAAAGATAGCCTACGTTATTTCCCCCTGTGCAATTCCAGTCTCACATCTCACAGCACATCGTCATTAACAAATAACGGAAACAGACCGAAAACATTTAAAAAAAATACAATAATACTTTATTCCGAGTGTGCTTGCTTTTCTCTTTGGAAGTCATCACATAACGGCATGGTAATACACGGTTCGGCTGAATTAAATATTACATATCTGCCGTAGTTCTGTATTTATAGAGCCCTGATGAGAAGACTTCTAGGCAAACATGAGGAACTGAAAACGTGACGTGGATCATAAATATATCAGCCATTAAACAACATCTTACATTTCTTTTCACACAATACGTCTCCTTGCAGTATCAACACTAATTCGGCTGACTTTTATATTTGATCCAATTGGTAGATAGGCTGTATTTACACCATAAAGGTGCACAGCTGATATAAAGGGACACCTAGTGGTTAAAGCATGTTATTGAATTTCATTCATCGACACGGTGAACCATCAGATCCTCCTTCGCACTCTCCAAAAACTTGGAGTTTCTGGCTCTGCACTTTCCCTCCTCACCTCATACCTGAAAGACCGTACCTACAGGGTGACTTGGAGAGGGTCTGAGTCCGACCCTTGTCAATTAACTACGGGGGTCCCTCAGGGCTCTGTTCTTGGTCCCCTCCTCTTCTCCTTGTACACAAACTCGCTCGGATCAGTCATTAGCCCGCATGGTTTTTCTTACCACTGCTACGCTGACGACACCCAATTAATTCTGTCCTTTCCCCGCTCAGAGACCCAGGTCGTCGCACGCATCTCTGCTTGTCTAGCTGACATCTCTCAGTGGATGTCTGCTCACCACCTCAAGCTCAACCTTGACAAGACTGAGCTGCTCTTCCTCCCGGGAAAAGATTGTCCAACTCTTGACCTGACAATCAACATCGGCACCTCAGTTGTTTCCCCGACTCAGACTGCAAGGAATCTGGGTGTGACCCTAGATAACAACCTGTCCTTCACTGCAAACATCGCTGCTACAACCCGCTGCTGCAGATACACGCTTTACAACATCAGGAAGATACGTCCCCAGCTGACTCAGAAAGCGACTCAGGTTCTGGTCCAGGCTCTCGTCATCTCACGCCTAGACTACTGCAACTCCCTCCTGGCTGGTCTACCTGCATGTGCCATCCGACCTCTGCAGCTCATCCAGAATGCAGCGGCCCGTCTGGTTTTCAACCTTCCTAAATTCTCCCACACCACTCCGCTCCTCCGCTCCCTTCACTGGCTTCCGGTAACTGCTAGAATCCACTTCAAGACACTGGTACTTGCTTACCGTGCTGCGAATGGATCTGGCCCTTCCTACATCCAGGACATGGTTAAACCGTACACCCCAGCGCGTGCACTACGCTCTGCATCAGCCAAACGACTCGTTGCGCCCTCGCTGCGAGGGGGACCCAAGTTCCCATCGGCGAAAACACGTGGGTTTGCTATCCTGGCTCCAAGATGGTGGAATGAGCTCCCCATTGACATCAGGACGGCAGATAGCTTGCACATCTTCCGGCGCAAACTGAAAACTCATCTCT